ACTCCCGACTCTGGCAATCGACACCTTTGTGAGTTTGGTACGTTTGGTTGAAGCAGTTCACTGTGACTTTGAGTAGCTCAGCATTTTACTGAATTTGGTTCAAGCGGTTTCTCGGTTAATCTTGCGAGATCCAGAACTCCCAGAGTAACTGGTTCTGATTTTGCTGAAGTCTGCTTGTTAAGAGATCTGGTTAGTGAATGTGCTGATCCCAATAGCTTTTGCAAAGCGGTTGTTATATTCTGTATGTTGTGTTTTTGGTGTTGGTGTTTATCCTTTAATGAAAGCAATTTAGATCACTGGATCAGGCTACTAATTTGTCCCCATTCAGAGTCAATCGTGATTTCCGTTGAGTATGATGTCGTTTCCTGGACTTGGGAAGGAGGTGGGTTTCTGGAGACCACAGCACAATTTTTTGTTTCACTCATTTCTGAATTTTTGGGTGTGCTGCTGGTTCTTCCCTGTTTCTCATTACTGAAGGGCTTCTTCCTTGCTTTATGGGACTTCAGTCCTGCTCCTAGGAACCTGATGCAAACTGTCCTAGCAGTGCCCTTCACACCTGCACTTAATGATTGCCGTTCCTTTTGAAAGTCACTTGATGTCATCTTACGATTCATGAAAGACTGTTGCATAAGTTAATGGTCATCTCTGGCATCAGAAAATTGCTTTTGCCCTCTACCTCTCTGGTTTTTGGTCATTCCCAGTGTCTCCAGCTTTACCTTACTCTTCTGTACTGCTGTCTTAGAAATTTTGAAGCTGGAAGCAACCTGCTGCTCAGCGTAGCCTTCTGCCAGCAGAACCACAATTAAGTCAGGATTTAAAAATGCAGCTTTGTTTAAAAATATAATATTTATACTAAAAAAATAGTGGTCTCAATTTTTTCAGTGGTTGTATGCTAAATAAGCACAGAAGACGCCGATAGTTAAAAGGTTAAATATCATGCATAATTTCATATGAAACTACACCACCACACCAAAACAATGGAGGATAAATAAGTGGTTTTGTTAGTTATTGGGGGGATCGATTGTGATCAAAACGTATTTATTCATATTTTATGTATATGACCCGCAAAATGTTCATGATAAATCTGGCCAGCAGATCGATCTTATGTTTCTCACAAAATAAAAAATGATAATATAACGTTATCCCCCTAATAAGCAGCGACAAGTTTCACTTCTGGTACTGGCAATACTAGGCAGAAGTACATTGGTTATGAATCGATTTTTCAGAAATATGGAGACACAAGCAAAAAATGTACTAATTGATGCATTAAATGTAATTGAGGTACAGAAATAATTTCATCTGCTCAGGTTCATCTTTTCTGCACTTCCTTATAACATCTATGTTAGTACTGGGGCTTGTGGTCAGCAAGTTTATCTCTTGGCGAGACCGGTCTTGCTAAATTGCCTTCCAAGAATCAACATGGGACACAATGAATCATGGGATTGCTGGCACTTGGTGAAGATGCAGCCAATGTATTCTTGATATTTAGGCCAGAACAAGACTAGGAATTTTTCCCGTCCTTTGAACTTGTGTTCTTAGAATTGGAACTGATCTTCAGCAATGAAAGATGATTTAAAACGGGTACACGAGAACACAAGTACTGTCAAGTACACATATTGAGATTCACCCCTAGTGTGAAATAGGTACTAAGAAAGGGTTCCAGAACTGGCTCTGAGGAACTACAATCGGACCGAGTTACTGTGTTGTGAATACGACAAAGGATCCTGGTTCTAGAAAAGGTTCTGGTCCCAGAAAAGTATGCATTGGGTATGGCCTGGTCCCTGTATGCCAGTGGAAAAATATCATATATTTTTCATGCAGGGAAGAAGTGTTAATTCAGAAAATTAAGTGTAACCCCTCTGAATGAATGACTTAATGCAATGTTATTTGCATGGTTTACTTCATTGATAGCATCCTAAGGACACTTAGGCTCCAAGTGTTATTATATTGTAATTAGAATTTGTGTTAATATATGAACCAACATGGTTGTATTTTTTAGAGGTTGTATATACAAAGAGAAATATTGCTGTCATACCTACCAATTAATATAAAAATTTATTTAAAAATAATAAAAAAACAAGCAGACTACAGACTTGTAAGTGTTTGTTAAATCGATAAGTATAAATAAAGTAATAATGCAAAAATTTGATAGGTTGAAGTGGACACTGGATGATATCATTTAGGATGAATATTACTATTTCCCAATACACGGCTGGAGTAGGTGATGGCTACAGTTGCAATGTGTAAATTTGACACTGGAAATTTTATGCATACCTAGTTTTTTCCATTAATACATGACATGCATAAAATATGTATATATGAATTTCACATCTTCCTATCTTTTTAAGAATTGAAAGTACTTATGAAGGAAGTGATGGCCAATCAATAGCATTTCATATCATTTATTGCCATGGAGAATTTCACTGGCATTTTAAGTATGATACAACCTAATGTACAGTTTCGCTGTGTGATTGAGAAACTTCTGTTCTTTCTTTAAGGGTTCTCCCGGTCCCCCTGGCTTGCCCGGGCCTTTCGGAAAACGCGGACCTCGGGTAAGTACCAAAAGATGTTTTCTCGTTGCTTCATCCAGGGTCTTGACAGGTTTTTTCCTGACTTGTGTTTCCCGTTACTGACATACCATATATTACACATACGTCACTCATAGTGCATGAGGAATATTGTCAGTAACAGATGAGTGTGTTCACTGCATTCTGCGGTTCATCTTCCACACCACTGCTATTGGATACCAGTAATGCTCTGGCTTATGTTCTGTAACTGATCAGGTGAAAATACAGTGTAAGCTATTCATTTGACCAGAGAGGATTACGCTAAAGTTTCTTTAATAGCTTGGATTAGGATAAGAAAAAACACACGAAACAAGTTTTTGATTACATCTCCACGTGCACTCAAATGGTAGTAAACTTGATTCTTTTATTGATCTTTCCACTTAGAAGTTCTCAGTTTTCAACTCAAAGAAACAAAGACATTTATACATTAGTACACATTTTATGTTTGTTTCAGAAAGTGGATCAAGATAAAGTATCACTGACAGATTGAAACGGTTGGTTACACATTTCACTGTTTGACCCGAGCCACACTATATTGTGACATAAACTATATCAAAAGACTTAATGACTAAAACGAAAGGAATGCTTTTCATCGGTTCTGGGGTCCAACATTATCATCTTGCATGGTACAGGACCATTTTTAATCAGAGTAACATTTTAATGTCCCACCGGTACAATTTAATATACTGTACAGTCTATGTTGCTTACTGGTCATTCATCTTCTATATTCAGAAGAACTACTGACGTCCTTTATTGAGCATGAAATTTACTGCATGTAGTTAGGGGCAAACTTCCAATAAGGCAAGGGTAAGCAGCCGCCTCAGAATTTCCAGAAGTTACATTAAAGGATGCAACGTAATACATCTGTTATTTGCATGTTTAGCTACGGTTTTCAGGATAGACAATGTTGCCCCCCGTCCCGGCTATAATTGACTATTATACTTTGAGACTTTGTGCTGGCAACTATTCTCTTAACACTGACATCTGCCGGTTGTGTCACTGCCAAGTGAATTGGTATAAAGTAGGTGAAAACAGAGCAGAGATACAAGACTACAAGACTTTGATGCTGTCTCGCTAGAGTAGTAGACACATTGTGAATAGTCGTGGAGAGAGCACAATTAAAGGAATGTATTCAAAAGTTTAAGACAGAACTTGGCAAAAGGGCGAATGTGTAAACTTATTAAATTTTCCAGATTGATTTGCCAGTGCGATACCCTCCTCCCTCCAATCGCCGAATTTTACCAACAGCATTCCCACCCCCTTCCCGTTCGATAAGTTTTACCGCTGCTTTGATTAGCTCATTATTGATGTTTAGTCATTTTTTAATTCCCTGTTGTTTCTCTTTCGCTTCCAAAAAAATAAAAATAACTGAAGTGGTTCATGTGAGCCTGAGGCCCCCAGAGAAGTTAATTCGCCTCTGCATGTAGCACTAAAAATCACGTGGGAAGTTTTATGTGATTCAGTCTAAATGGTCTGTTGGAATTCACTGTTTCTCAGTTGTTTGGTTCTTTAATCCTGGTTCATTTGAAGTAGCAGTGATGAGTCACAATATTTAAGGCGTAAATGCTTTAAACAACCCAAGATGTCACCCATTCTGCTGAGCCTTCATCTCTTCCTTCCCCCCTTAAGCTGCCTCATGACTTCCCTCAGTTTTTCTATTGATAGGCTGCAGAAGAGGATGGGCTGTCATTGAGATGTCTGGCGTGTAACAGACAGACTAGACTGCACCTTAATATGTATATGAGGGTTTGTGAAGAATGGATGTTGTAAATTAGATTAGATTAGATAAACTTTACTGATCTCAGGGGAACATTCTTGAAATAATCTACTTATCTTTTTTTTCTGTGGATGTATGCTTTATATACACCAAAGGCATACCTTTATTTCAGAATAATTATTTGTCCTTTTTAAGTGTGACACCTTATCTGCCTAAGTCCTCTTTAGTTTTGTTTTATATTGTTTTATGTTAGTTTTTCTGTTAATTTTTCTTTTGTTCATGATCACCTGATTGCTTCATCCTGTAGGGCCCACCTGGTCTGCATGGAAATCCTGGATTACCTGGTCTACCTGGTCCCAAGGTGAGTCTTAAGAGTCTTACCTTTCAAAATGCTCAATATTTCCTGTGACTCTCACCAGGAGAAGCACTTACATGATGGATAAATGTTTCACATATATGCCTCTAGTAAAGTAAAAGACATCCTGCATCTTTTCATATTCCCCTGCACTGCATTAATGATCTGGCTCTTGTACATTCCATTAATGCAGTCGTGAAAAAAGAAATTAAGTATCATTCCAACAAGGAGTGTTAATGTTGTATTACATGAATGTTTATTGAGCTTTGGAGCAGAAAGGTGCCTTGGGGGTTGGATATCAGACAATGTGTTATAGCGTGCTGATGAATGAGAAGAAAATGTCTTTTGTACACCTTTCATGAAGCATTGTCAGCTTTCGTGAGAGCGGACGTACAGTAAGATGTAAAGACACCTGGCCAGACTCTGCCTGTTAAGCGTGACATTGTGCTCATTGGAAGACAGTGTGTGTCATTGTGATTTAAGCAAGTTGGCAATCTGACATAACTGTTATCATCTGAGTGGCTAAAGATGATTGAACATGCCATTTCTGATCTACTCTTTCTTTCCAAATTTACACTGGTGGTGTGCTAATATTTACTGCGACATCTGAATTCAAATAAGAAATTAGTTGATGCTTCAATGACATACAGTAAATTACATTTATTTGGACAAATGGTTTTAAATATTCCAATATTGTTGCTTGTTTTGATACATTTTCTATTTTGATCACAGCGTCCTTCTTCCCCATGTATTTAACTAGTCACTGAGAGGATTTTGGCAGAAATGTTTCAATTTCCACTTGTCAAAGAGCTTTTGTGTCTTCAGGCTGGTCAATCGAGTAGAACCCGCTGCACAGATGCAGAGCTGGCCCAGCTGTCTTGGGGAAAGTTCACATGCTCCTTCTGACTCTTGATAAATGGACCTTTTACGCATTCCAGCTAAGGAAAGCATCATGTCAGAGATCTGGCATCTGTCTAATTCTTGGAAAGTGGGGAGTTGTTCAGTGTTCTCAGTGGGTTTCTAAGACATGCTTATGACGCTCTCTACGTAAAGCGTATGCTGAACGTATTGCCAGATAGACACGTGGACATGGAGATCTGTAGTGACACACACCCATGTACACGTGTGTGCACACGCACGCCCACAGCAGAGGGCTTAGAACCAGCACATGGGAAAATCCCTGCAGGCCCTGTAGTTCACTGACATCACTAAGCAGTGTGTCATAGTCAGCTATCATTACTGGGTGAAAAATGCCTTGCAGCTAGAAAATGTGTATTTTTGGCACTGGTGCTGGATACCGCAAACTATCTTAATAATACACTGCCATCCTTACGTATTTTATTAGCACCATAAATATATGTAATGTGGAATTCATAATTATGATTTACTTATTTATAATTCCATGTAGCTATATAGCTATATGAAATTTAATTTCACAGCTGGTATACGTCTACATTCATTCATGTGACAAAAATCGTGGAAAAGCGTATTGGATGTGGATGGTGAAGTTGCTGATAAAGAAAGAAAAAGCACATTTTTAGGGAATATGTACAATAACTTTGCAGTGTAATTGATTGTTTTTCTTTATGTAATGGTCAGTTCAAAACCATCCATAAACCTTTTAAAAAAAAGTTGTATGGCAAGTGTAATTTTAATATATGAAGTAATCTTAGCTGTTGTTTAGATATTATTGTGTTAATTATACATATGTACAGTGAATATAGTATATTCATCATTTTTTCCCACAGTGCAAAAATGAATGTAAACAGCTGCTGTTTTATTGAAGCAATTTAGGTGCCCTACCCAAAGGTAGATGAATTGTCTCCCACCTGGAAATTGAACCCTTGACCTTCCGAGTCTCTGTAAATCAGTGTGACCACGACATCAATTTCGCTTTGCGTATATCATTTAGCACTTGAGTAAGGTCACAGTTCAGCGGAGATTACACATTGTGCACGTCACCTTCTGAGGAGCCTCCTGGTCCAGCCATTACGCGTTGAAAGTCGGTTACTTCAGGATCGAAAGTTCCCACATAGCTCTTCATGGCTGTCTTACACAGATATGATTTCCCTGTATGCAGTAAATGTCTCATTGATGATAATTATGGAGGGTTGTGTGTGAATGGAATGCTTCCATTTACTTATTGGTGTACATTGCATTTTTGAATACTATAGTTTCATATTTAAAGGTGGAAGTAGGATTGCCAGCAGAAATACCAGCAACATTCAAGTCCATTTTGAGAAGCCTTCCTAGGCAGACCCCCAACACAGATTAGTACAGTCAGTCCCCGGGTTCAGAACGTCTGACTTACAGCCAGCTCATACTTATGAATGGACTGCAATTAACCGTATTAGCCTACATTAAAAATTCTATTTAAATACAATGCTTCATAATAATGAACGCATGCACTACTTTTGAAAACATTGCACAGCTTCAGCGATTCGTCGGCTCAAGGTACAGTACAGTACTGTATGTAGTTACTTATATTATTACTGTATAATTATTATTATGTACTGTAGTGTTATTGTTCTGACTTTACCTACAAATCCGACTCATGACTGCCTGCATGTGAAGGGGGAGAGGATGGATGTCTGTTTCCGTCATTGACTTTCACGCCCTAACGTAGTACTGCTGTCTACTGTGGAAGTGTTCATTTAAAACGTATGTTTACTATTACTTGTCATTCATTGATATTGTAAATACCAATGTTACTCATAGTTACAGTGAATCAAACTACCTTATGTGAAAAAATGGTACAACAAAATTGGTGCCATGATACACATTTTCACATCATATACATGCAAGGGGGCTAAGTGCAGCCAGGCTATTTATAAACTTTTCACTCTGGAATGACAATAGCCTATTAGATCAGATTTAAATATACTCTCATTTGTTTACTGACATTTTCTCTATGCTTTCACAGAGGTACTTAATCTTGAATTTTTATTTATTTATAAATGGACCATTGTCTGATTAGCCAGGTGCATGGTAAGAGAGAGGAGGTTAAATAATTGGTAACTCTTTATTTGTGGGGGCACAAGTAACTTTGTAACTCAGTAACTACTCAAGTACAAATCATGAACAAATATATTAACTGCATGAGATACATAAACTGTTATGATTGATTAATGATGAACAAACATGGGATCAGTATGTAACAAATACTTATTTTCTGGTTAATTAATACATTAAGTAAGAGTGTACTACTGTATTTGTTTCCCCTTTCAAGTAAAGTTTTACTGGACAATTAGATAAACCCGTTCTCTTTGGGTGCCTTAGTTTAGCTGGACTCTGCCAGGACCAGAGTAGAGAACATCTGCTTTATGATGAATGTAATTAGTCCAGAAGATCCCCAGCCTGTTCCTGGCGCACTGAGGTGTATGCAGATTTCCATCATACAGAATCGTTTACACTCTCAATTAAATTGTGTTTCCTTGACGAGGGTTAATTTTATGGCACTCTCTCCATGCCAAGATGATTAGAGAGTTGGAAAAGCTACATGAGCACTTTATTGTCAAGACAATGTTTGGGGATCCCATACGAGGTTTATAACATTTACCCTGCTAGGCCAAATGCATTAATCAGAGTTGGATCATTCAGGTCCAGAGAGTAAAAGTCCAGACCGGGATTTTGTTTCAACCATCCACTTGAGTACTCTGTGACTGTGACTCTTTATGCTCAACTGATTGGTTGAAACAAAATCCTGGTCTGGACGTTTACTCTCTGGACCTGAATTACCCAACTCTGGGATTAATTATTATTTTCCTTATTTCTGCTACCAATGCTACAATATGAGCCTTTCTTCAGGTAGCGTACCTGACAGACACACATATCAATATATATAACTGGACTACTGCTGCTTTGCCAGTTTGATCAAACTGCTATGGACTGTCATGTACTAGTGCGATATGGTGCTTTCAAAAAATTAGCGCACACAGCTTTCTTGCTGCCAGAAGCTAAACTTAAGCAAACTGATATCTTCATGAAGTATTTCAAACTTAAGCATAGACGTGGCATTTCCCTGTATAATCACCTTTCATTTGCAGTTCTGTGTTTAAACTGTACTGTGTGGGGGTGGCTCCGTGGGTAACATAATTGCCTCACACGTCCAGGGTTTGGGGTTTGAATCACATCTTGTTGTGTGTGTGGTGTTTGGAGGTTGTCATGTGGGTTTCTTCTGGATGCTACAGTTTCCACCCTATGTCCAAAGTCATAGTGTATATTTGTGTGTGCATCTACCCTGGATTTGACTGGCATCTTGTCCAGATTTTATCCCTGCCATGTGTTTTATGCTGCCTGAGATTGACTGCAGGCCCTCGCTTGACCTTTAGCAGGATAAGCGATTGGATGATGGATGGATGGTTGGTTTTTGTACAGGCTAGGGGTATTAGATTCTTGGCCTTGTTGCCTTATATGCGCTCTACAGCAGAGTCTTACCAACCCAGAGGAATAAATTCTACATCACTCCAAGTCCTGATTTTCGACCTCTCAGAAGAAGCTAATGAATCGTTTCCATAGGCTACCTTACCCTGTCCGATCCATATTGATCAAATCACCCACCAGATCAGCTACAACTGAACCAGTCGAATTTAATCCACCTCTCTGCCAGTATTACTCTGCACTTGTGTGTAAAGTTAGATTCTGTCGTCCAGATATTGAGCAGTGTCGTGCAGGAAAGAATGCATCGAATTTTTAACCATTGCATTTAAAGGTGGAGCTAAAAATGCAGAAATAATAACTGTATTCTCATGCAGTAATATTGTTGAAGAACACAGGAAAAGTTGACTGTTAATTGGTGTTGCTTATCTAATATTTGGAATGTTGAATTGTGGAATTAGCTTATTTATCTTCAAGGGGGCAGAGGAGGTAGACGTTAAGTTACACAGCTGGTGTCCTATAAAAAGAACATTCCAGTGAACCAACTGAGTCATCGTCTGTCAGCTGATAATCCTGTGTGGAAAAAAATGGCTGCATTTCCTGTGCTGCTCCGGAGTCTCTGCAGATTTGCCAAATCAAGGTGCAAAGATTAGTTTGTGCAGCGTAATGGGATAAACATAGCAAATGTTACGTTAAAACATGTTAAACTGATAAAAAGGCCAGACAGAGGGTGTGGTTTAAATCTGATGAGTTCCACTTTTAATCTAGTGAATGACTCATCAACTCAACTGCCCAAATACAAATGCTTTATCATCAGTATCAGTACTGCAAAGCAATATAATAAAAAATTCAGGCTACAGGCCCACACACTAATTATAGGCATGATATCTACTTAAACTCCTTGGTGCAAAAACCTGACACATTTGGTTGCTACATTTGCCTAATTATAGATTTATTTGTATAATTCTGTTTGTATTGTAGGAATCATACGTTACATTGAGTACATTTTATGTGACTTTAGTTACCGAATAATTAGTAAAGATATAGTATAGTCTGATTTGTTAGTGTGAAATATTTATAAGTGTTACGACTTGCTAGTATCTATGAAATTTCGACACTGTTTAGCCCCTGACCAGCATTTGTGTAATTAATTTATGCAGCACACATTGAATGTATAGTAAAGACACTGGCTTTATACAGTGCAGTATAATTTTTATATGCATTATTGGATCTGGAACACAATCCTTAAAGGCTCAAGTTAATACAAATAAAACCTTTATATGAAAATCCTAACATAAGTGAACTGTTTCATTTGGAAAGAGACATTTTCGAATCCAATTATGCAACTGCTATAGTCTCTTGTGACATTTACAGCATCAACTTCGCCATATTGTGAGTGGTTGTGGGGGAAAATGTGCAAGTCTCCACAATTAGTGATTATTTCTTGAATCTGTCTAAATCAGGGCTCCAAGGGTGATCCTGGGATGTCCCCAGGTCAGGCACCAAAAGGAGAAAAGGTAAAGAACACGAACCATCAGACCGTTACCCCGAATGCCTTGCTCTCTAGTGGTATCCTGTTGCATAGTGATATTTTTACATTGCATGTTTGCCGTCACCATAATCCATCACAGTTTCTATCGCAAGTGGCATTCTTATTAACTATAAGCTAGCTACTTCACTGCTATTTTCAATATTGCTCCTTATTATTTCGGTTTTTCTTTTCAGGGCGATAGAGGTCCCCCAGGTCTACCAGGTTCACGTGGTTTACCAGGTCAAATGGTAAGATTTTACCACATTCTCTTGAGCTTAATAATTTGTAAAATGCACAATAAGATATTGCTTATGTCGAAGGTTTCTTGCATTTTTTTTTTACAAAAACAACAGAGCATAAATGCTGTGGGCCAAATTAAAAATGAAACCAGATCAACATTCTATGTCAACCAATGAAGAAAATGCAGTGCATTTTTGAAGCGAGAAAACATCGAATTTTCCAGTGAAAAGAGAACTTAGAACTTTCCAGAATCTGTTCCCCCCCATTATGGACGCTGAGCTTTACCTTTTACACCCCAGGAGCAAACTCTGCATTTGTTGTAGCTGAAATGAATAACCAGCTAATGATGCCTAACATCCCAGATGACAGTCTCCTTCGTAAAAGTTTTGATCCTCCTCCAGAAGCAGCAAAATTTAACTTTGTAATGTTTCCCAGACATGTACTTCAGTTCTTTTTCAGCTCTGAAGTTCGTTATCCTTTCAGAATAGGCAATGATGTCAAATAATTTATTTTTGTGATTTAGCAGGACACCCTTGTAGGATTAGATTGGTGCCAAGACTTAAGACTGAACCATATAAAAGCAGAGAGATCCATGCTGTTAAATATCTGCTAATTACGCATCATTCCAAAATAAGACTTTGTTATAAAGGTTAGTGCTACATAAAAAAAATAGGTAGAAAACCAACTGCATTCTTGCCCATCTTCTCTTGAATTATTAAGTGGTGCTAAACCATTGGCTGTGATGAGGAAGGCTTAGCATTCCCTGTTTTTTCTCCATTAATGATTCCTGTTCACTGCACTACGAACCGCTATCTGGGGAACAGTAGCCCTTTAAGAGACAGGCCACCCAGAGCAGATGAACTCCTATAACCTACTACAGAGCCGCCTGTTTAGTGGGTTACTATAGCAAACAATATTTAAAGTTTCCATATTTGACGCACTGTGATTTAATTTTGTATGGTCTTTGTCCTCTTTCAATGGCATTTATTAAAAGGCATTATTAGTTTTGTAGAAGCCCCCCCCATG